AGCCTTAGGAAGACTATCCCTTTCCGCACCGAATTGAGTCAGCAATTGATACCTTAATTCCTTTAAAGAAACATACCTAGAAGCTAACTTTATCTATAACATTTCATGCTTGGTTTCTAAGTCTCCATAATCTCCTCTCTACCTACATGCATTCTCAGACAGGTATCAACACTAAATTTCAATGGGGAGATTCACTGCTTCATACTAAAAGTTCACTCCGTAGAATTAAATCTCTTCAGCATAATGACTTCTTAGCTACCACTTTGAGATTTCTCAGAATCAGCAGTTTGAATTATTGCTTAACACACTTTTTCCATACTGGCAATTTCACACCAACTAGATTTCAAGACCCTTTAAGTGTGGGCTGCTAAGTTTTAGGCTAGAAGAATTCTGAATGTTCGATAATTTTTTTCTGAGATATTATGTCTAAATGCTTTAACTGAAATGACAGCCCAACGCCCTGAACAGATTTTCTACATGTATCACACACGTAGGAAGCATGTCTCATCTCATGAGACATGAGCAACTACAGTATTATGCTAATTCAAAAGCATATGAGAAGTAATTTCTTTTCCAAAGAAAAAAACTGCTCTGCTTAGCCTTTCTCTTTATTAAAACCTATTAATTAGCACTGAAATATGTAGTTTCCAGAAATGCTCTTCCTTAGTGTTATTGCCTAAAAAGAACACCATGCTCAGGGTTAAGCTTAAGCCAACCAACTTCAATATTTAATGCTAGACTAGCTAATGTTTACCAAAAGAGCCCATTAACTCTCACATCAAAACAAATGCCATCACAGATAGGCACTCATATGACATGCATAAAAATCAAGGCTATTCCTGCACCATACCAGAGAAACATCCCTAAATTTAAGTGACACTACAAAGGTAAGCAGTACATGTAAACTGTTCATGTTTTTCCTTATGCAAATATACATCGTTTTTTGAAAAGCAGTAGCGTTAATAATAATTTATGCAGGGGAATGAGGAACAGTTCTGGTGCTGACAGTCACTTCTGTGCCTATTAACTATTCATAGAACACTCAATAGCATTGGAAAGAGCCTTTGAAGCAACAGTAAAGGCTTGGCAAAGCTTTTATCATATTAAATATAAAACATGAAACTTCATGCTTACAGCTATCACTACTCATTAGTCAGACAGCAAGTTTTTCATGCTGAAAGCGGCAGCCACCCCAAGTCACAGAATACAGATTTTTTTTCTTCCATAGTCCTAATGAAACAGGCACATGGATCCCACCTTTCAGAAGAACTAAAATGGATTTACTGCTTGCATTACAACATAAATTATGCTTGAGTTACAACTGAAATAATCTGAAATTACCAAACTATTTATTAATGGTTTAAATTGTTGTTAACAGAAGCCATGTATTGTGATTTCATTGAACAAGATTCCTCAAAAAGCTAACAGTTTCTCTAAGTTTACACCATATCAGTCATCAGTTTCTCCTCACTTTTATTCACTCTAAGTCCCTTGCAAAATAATTTTTAAAATGTATCCAAATTTTCCATGAACTGTTATGAACCAGAAATAATTTTAGAGATATAATCCTTAAAAGCCAAGTTTAATGATGGAAGAAAATACAGTCATTTATAAACAATAGCAGGGACTTTAATTCCCTCACAGATAAGCAGCATTAAGTACCAGATGTTTCAGAAGACGAAGGCCTCATCCTGCTCCTATGGAGTTTATAATACATGGCTAAAATGTGATAGGGGAAGCAAACAGTAATGTTAATGCACAGAAGATACTCAAGAGTAACACGAAATCAGTTTCTCAACAACCTTGGACTGCAAAACAAGTAAACCTAGAGTACTGAAGGTGCTGACAGTTTGTTTTCTAGTAAAGTTTTAATGCTGGCTGGGAAGAACTGCTGATTGAACAGGTCTCTAAAACAGGTTAATGAAAATTTCCAGAGATCAAAACTTGTGAAAGTGCCAACTAATATAATTTCATCTGGAGTCAGCCTGCCACTTCTCATGTTTGGCATATTTTTTATATCCTGGGAATTCTTCTAAACAAGTTAGCTGCTTCATTTTGAATTCTTAAGCTGCAGACAGTAAGAAATCAAATAGCAAGTTAGAATAAAAAAGTGTGATATATATTTGGCTTGTTCTTGTTGCTAAGCTACTAAAGCCCAGTTACGACTACAAGGCTATTATAGATTTGTAACTGCATTTCTGACAAGGCAATGTAACATCAATCTAAGCATAGCAATAAAGACAAAGATTAAAGTCACAAATCAGAACTTATTTCAGTAGGGGTACAGCAACTCAGGCACTTCCAGACCTTTCCAATTCACAGTATCCATTGATCCAAGCAGCTCCCACTGCTGCCTTTAGTCCTTTTGTTAAGAATTCAAAACTTCAGGAAATTTAAACACAGTGAGAATTCAATCACTGTTGAATGGGAAAGGGACTATTCAAAGGACGATCTCCTTCAGTTGCTGAAATCTCGTGGCTTACAGAACAAGTAGGACAGGTCATTTATCTGCCAAATCATAACTATTACACCTCTGATCCAGAGTACACAAACAGCTAGGAAACTCAAAAACCTGCAAGTAGAAAGTGTGAAACATCATACTAACGTGCTTAAGTTTTAACAGTGGTATCCGATAAGAGTCTCCGATGATTTCGGTGACCAAGGTTTTCTGATATATAGAACACAAGTACACACTGTAAAGCTTAATTGTTAACATTCAACATACATCTGTAAGGAAGACTTTTTTGCATACCCAAAAGGCTTCTGGTTCTTCAATGTATTATAAGCAAAGTTAGTTGGTTGAGTCACCATGCTTCCCCAGGTGCCACTTCTCAAAAATAGTTTCTCAAGCCAATTTAATCTCACAGAAAACAACTGAATGTTGCTTTTACCAAAACAAAAAGCAAAGGGAATATTACAGCAGTTCAACAGCTATATGCAACCCCCTCCAGTGAGGAATAAATATAGCTCATGTTGAGGCAGACAGATGTTGAGGTTGATAAAGGTAAACAGAACCACATAAAAGGTAATTACCAAACAGGCTAGATAAGTCACCCGTGAATAACTTAACCCTTCAGTGAATCCAACATTGTTTTTTCCCCTGCTGAGGGAACACGAGCCAGAGCATGAAAGATTTCAATTAGTTCCCAAAGCGCTAACGTTTGTAACCAGCTACCTCCATTTCTTATCTCTATAGCATGGAACATCATCATTGCATCCCCACAGCCTTTTGCATCACTTTATTGATTTGCCAGCTTTTCTAGAAGTGAAAGCTCTTTTCTTCCCTTCCCCCAAATCCCAATGTTCTTTTGATAGCTGGGGTTAGGGAAGGAAGGGAAGAGGTATTTCTCAATTATCTAGAGGAAACAGATCTGCTAGAAGAGCTCACAAAAGAAATGTAAACTAGTAGACTGGTCAGTAATTAAGAGGATGGTTTATTTATGCTGTCTGACCTTACTCTACGGTGAGGTAAAGTCAGCTTAGCCAGCTATACATTTTAAACATCTAAGTGGCAGCACAAACAAGAAAGCGAACAAAAAAGTACTGGCCATTTACAAAACTGGGAGTCTTCTCCATGCAAAGCAGGATGCAAAGTTTTGCATTCATGGTGGACAGTAATTGAACCAATGCTGCTAGTACAAATTACTTAAATCTCTAAATCTCAATTTACCCCAAAGACAAAACCCCAAAACAAGTTATGGCCGTTATAAACATTACTAGATGAAGTTGCATCTGTTTTATTCAGCAAGTCAGGTTGATCAGAAAGCCCCTATTTGGGGATCACATACAATCTATTTCAACTCCGCCACCAATAGATCCAAAAAGGACATTTGATAAGCTCTGAAAATGAAAATTTTCAGGAAAACTTGAAGGCATAACTTAGCATCTCTCACGGCACTAACTACACTGATTATTGAGCCCTCTGACTCAAAATAAACCACCTAGTAATTTTATATGAAAACACATTTTTAACTGCAGGAAGATTGCATGAAAGAATTTGCACATTGCATGCTCACAAGTTCAATCTCTTATGCCCTTCTGTCATATCCAATGTAAAAATACAGATGTTTCATTTGAGATGCTAACCTTGAAATTTTTAAACAATGTTGTAAATAGTATTCAATGAATTTTTTTTAGAGATTTGGTTGAGTGCTTCTGTTTGGCCAGAACTGAGCATGCTGTAAGGCATTAACTGCATGTATAAACCAAAGCAAAGATTTAATATGCATATATTATATATACACTTACACAGTGCACACACATCATTGACTTATTCACTCATGGCAGCACACTCAGTCCAGTACTTCCACTCAGTTTCATGTAATATTTTCTGATATCTGATTGAGAACACGGTTTTCTGGATTTGATAAAGGTAATACCAGATACTGTTAATACTATAAGCAGTTTACTGGAAACCTAATTACAGTACTTATCACAAAATTTAACACTGTCTACTCCTATTTCTAAACCCCATTACCCTCCCATTATTATCTAAAGCTGTTGGTATCATGGTTTATTCATATGTATTCATGTGTTATAAACTAGACAGATTAATCACAAAAAAAGACTCACCAGTGGTTTGAAATAAATGCAATATTTCACTAGTAGTTGGAAAAGTCAATTTCTCTAACCATTTATTCTAAAGTACTGTAACCTGAAGTATTTCCCCATAAATAAAAAAGCTTCATTGCAAATCTTTATAGTCTAATGTTGTTTCTAGTTTCTAGGACACTCACCTTTTTAGTAAAGAATTTTAGGCTTAAATGAGGTTAAAAGTTTTACACAGGAAAGCACTATGAGACAGGCATGAATGCATACAAAAATCCTTCCACTTAATCATAGTCATACAATCGAATCTGTGGCACAGTCAATAACAAAAAAACCAAAATCCTTTTTACCTTGTGTATTTTCAGTTGGCAGACCCCGCTTCCCTCTTCCTCTGACTTCAATCAATGCAAAAACACAGAAAGTTTCGACTAACAGAAATGAGAATTACTTACCAATTTGTAACAATACAGGTGTTACCAAAGCTGTCTCCATGGCATAACAAAATTCCCTGCCAAACATTACTGCACCATGCATGACCCACAGGCGTATTGGTATCCGGTCTATGGATCCTTCACTAATGGTCTCCTCCCTACTTTCATTCTCCTTGTTTTCTGGTTTCTGAAGCTGTGCCACAGGTAGATCTTGAACTTGCATAGATTCCGAGTCAGCATTCTGGGGAGCCATTTTCATTACCATAAAAATATATATATATTTGTTATATCTATATAAATACTACCATAACTCCACAAACAAGTTAGGGTGTCTTCTCTTTCAGCTTCTGTTCCTCAGGCAAGTAATGCTTATATTCCTCTTGTACAAACAGGTATCTTGCAACTTCTTGTATAGATACGAGACATTAAGAACAAAAAGCTATTTGGTAGGAATTTCAACATATGGCTTGCTGGTTTACTGTGAGTTAGAGTTAAAAATCCATAATTGCCATTCAGTTAATACCAGTTTCATAATTATTATTGAAGAAGTGCTGAAGTTGTTATTCTTGCTACAGAGAGGTGGAAAGGCGACACAAAGAGGTGCTCCACTGTTAATCCCCATCGAGTGGCTGATTAATCTGCAACAAAAAGCAAGCATTTAAAAATTTCAATAGCATTTTTCAGGATACTGTGCCCCCCCTGCCCCCCCTTAACCATATACCCTATTTCCTGCTTAATGCTTTCCATTGTCCTTGCCCAGTGTAGGGTCTTTTATTCCACATTCCCTTCTACCTCTGGACTTTCCACTGAAATGCAGTTACTCCTCATATTTAAATGATCCTTAACTGTACTCCTAAGTTCCTCCAGTTTGTCATCCTATATGGAGCCACAGAAGAATATATCAGTGTATTTGTCTGATATCCTCAGAACATCGAGCACAAGACTAACAAATTCTAGGAAATTTAATGTAGTTTCCATTTCAGAAACAGCATAGGATATCCCAGTACTATGCCAGGAAGATGATTCATCGATTACCATTTACTCACTGGCCACACAGACATCACTGCTTAGACTTTTAGAAGTTCCTCGTTACTTTGCAGTAACCATCACACCCTCTTATAATAAAGATATTCCTCAAGCAAGCATGAGCAAAAATAAGTCAATAGGAATACAGCTTTAAGGGTTGATATTTAAATATTGAAACTTCTAATGAAGATATGTACAGCATATGCATCCATCTTCACTTTCTGCACACAAGACCAGAGCATCTTACTCCCACATCTTATGAGGCTTCTGAAGTCCACGAAAGTAGAATGGTACAGTAACTTCCACCATACATTAAAATTATTAAAATATATTCCAACCAGGTAGGACAAGCTTCTCCTGTATTTTCCCCTCCTTTGTGCCACAAAGTCTAAGCAGATGTACATACTGTACCACATCAATCAAAGTGTGTTTAAGCACTTAGAGGAAAATAGAAAGTATTTATAAAAAGTCAGATTACATAATGTTTGTACTAGAAGGACTCATCTTAACATCTATGCACATGGTGTGACTGAACTCGTACCCCAGGACAAAACCCCTCGGGGGTATGTTTCCACAAGATGCTGGCTTTGGCAGGAAAGCTGGCCTAAGAGGTCCCCACGCTGCAGTTCCCTGCCCCTTCAGTTGTGGCAACAAAAACTCTTTGTGGGCCACAGCATAAACCAGATCATTAAGCGGTGAACCTAAAAATGAGCCTTAAGAAAAAGATAACATGTTTGGGGTTTAAAGCACATCACACCAACAACTGTTTCAGCATGACCCGACACACCATTCTACTAAAAACGCAGCACAGGAACCTCATCTTGAGCACTCCCTCCTGCCGATACCCTCCTTTGAGTTGTACTCCCAGTGGGTTTATTGCGTGTGTTCTGTTCTTCCATTCAAAAGCATCTTTTTTGGTCTGGGCTTTTCCTCCTCGCAGGCTCCCCAAGATTACTAGAGTTCTCCGATTTGATCACCTCAGTAACAACTTAATACTAGCTCAAAAGGAAATTATAGTCAAATCTGTAAAGCACATGAGAGAAGTTAAAATAAATTACTGAACACAAGTGCTATAAGCCAAGTTTTAAGGTCCAAGTTTTAGTCTATAAGCATGAAATAGCTCAGAATAAAAAGGACTCAAAGCAAGCATTTCTCCACCCACTCAGAATTAACAGGAGGAATTGAGGTGTTACTAAATTATGGCACAGACAAGTTCTTTGTAAGCACCTTGTTTTTATAAAGGTTCTTCTTTCTACCAGTCAAGGTTTGGATTTGCTAAGCTCCTGCATGCAGCAGAGTTCATTTGCCTCCTTCCAGTAGTCAGTACAGTGTTGAACTCGCATCAGGAGAAGGGACACGATTCTCTTACTTTGCTTTAGTCTGAGGTTTCAACAAAATCCTTGAAGGGCTATTACCTTAACATAAATACAAAGTTAAGGACTGTGTGTATTAAAAAACACACACACATCCACTTTTTATAACAGATGTTCTGGGTGAGTAAAACCTACGGAATACAGGTTCCAGAGTGGGAGCAATTATTTTAATTACAGACTAGTCAAAATATTTAATTGCTGGCAGACTCAGGGAAAATTACATTCAGTAGAATTTAAAAGTTTACATATCAGGTCTTATTATTCAGAAATCATTCAGAACATGTGTGTTGTATTACAGACTAAAGGTCCCATAACACTCCTGCACAAGATGGCTTTCAAGTCTCTAGCATTTTCTTAAGCTTAATTTCCCCTCCTGTCACTGTCCGTGAAGGATTTATCTCAGTTTCCCTGAACATCTCATTTAATACGCAGTTACAGGGTAGCAGAATGAGGCACGGAGAGGAAGGCAGTTCATCACACCAGAATGTTTTATGATGCACTGGGGCAGCCTGCATACGCCAGCAGGACACCACCAGGCTGGGAGCATTTGTCACTGGAAAGGATAAAGAGGCAGGACAAAAAAGGCGATCTGAGATTTAGCCCATTTGAGCAAGCCTCTTAAGGGCTGACTGAAAAAGTTACTCTTGAAGTGGAAGATGATGGGAAGTGAACAGATAATTTAAGAGACAGGAATAATGGATGATAGACGGAGGTAGACTTTGAAGCTGTAATTGACACAGATAAGAACAGTATATTTTAAACATGCCAGAAAAAGCAGTTACAGTATTCAAGTACAATAGCACGAGGCACAATAGAGAGGTTTTATCTAAAGGAACAGAGAATTACTGTTCCATTATGCCAATTTTGTGGTAAGCATAACACTAGTCTTCCTGCAGCACTTTCATCTGACTCCAAATGCATGGCTAATGCAAGAGCCAGAGAACAAGAAGAGTGTCTCAGAAAGGTCTTCCAGTTCTTTCGTAAATCCTGCTAGGCTTTGGCAGGGGGGTTGGACTAGATGGTCTCCAGAGGTCCCTTCCAAACGCAATCATTCTGTGAGTCTGTGGCAGGTTGTGTTCAGACTCATTTTAGACCGATCCAGATTCTGCTGCTGCTTTTTCCAAGTTCATTTTCAATTTGGCAAGTTTGAATAGTGGCATTCTTCCTTATCGAAAAGGGAGACAAATTAATTTACCTGCTGGAAGTAAATATTACAGAAGCTTTTATGCTAAGAACTCCAAAGTAAATGGCATCTAAAGAGGAGATAGATTAAAATATCAAAGAGGGCATGCTCCCACGTCTGCATCTGGCAGAATTATTTTTTCCAAGTTTGTTGGCTAGTAAACCCAAACCTTAACTAACAAGAACTTTTAAAAGTTGTAATATTAAATATCCATAGTAATTTCCAACACAGTCCCTTTACTCATAAGGTTCAAAGGCTTTATTGCGTGGAACCCACCTAAGAAATAGGCCAGCATTATCAGTATCATTTTTAAGAAGTGATGAGTTAGACTTATATTTTACCTGTCATTCAAGCAGACTAGGTACTAAGAGAGCTGGCATCCCTTCCTCAAACAGATGTTGAGAGGTATGGTGGCAGAAGGTTTCAGAAAGACAGCTTCCCTTTCATCTGTACCTTTCTGACCATCCTGCCGTGTAGCAGCTAAACAAAATAATTAAAAAATGTCAACTAGCACGAGACAGCATTTATCTCAGGAAGCCGAGACCACGTCCCCATTCTGCCATCCACTTTCCCTATACTTCCCATAAAGTTTTAAAAGGCATTTTCATGACTAACAAAGAATAAGGAAGTAGAATGAAGGATTTCAGCCACGGGAAGAGGTTCATGCTGGACACTGTACAGAGGTTGGGTACGAAGAAAAGTTTAGATACAGAAATATTCCTGATCTTGCAAAGTGTTTATGGGAGGAGGGGACTGATTACACTAGCTCTTCTTCAATCTACTTGCACGTTTTACTTTGACCTTTGGCCACATTGCAACACTGACAAAACCTATAAAGCCATAGTTAATATTTCAAAAGAACAGGCAAGTAATATACTCTGAAAACTAATCGGTAAGCAAAATTTTATAAAAGCTGCTCAAATTGCTTGCAATCTTACTTGTTATACTCTTCCTGTCTACCTTCTATCTAGGCATAAGTCACAACATGACTGTGAGCACAAAACAACATGTTACTGGCTCGACAAGGCTATATCGCAATAATCCTGTGCCTCAAATAGGTAGCATTCACAGACAAAGCCCATGAACCATCGAAGAACCAGAGGAAAGTTACTGCCTTTCTTCAGCGTTTTCCAAAGAAGAGGAAGGGTTATACTGGTCATATTTGTGGCCCACAAAAAATCAGTGGTTTTCTTTTCCCTAGCAAGCACTAAGATGCTAGACATGCACAAAAAGCTCACGCTAGACAACTGTGCACCACAATTCCTCAGGCAAATTACTTCTATCACTTCTCAGCATGCTCTGTAAGTTTAGGACTTAGAGGTTGACAAAGAGGGTTTTTGCATTTGTGATACCATCATCTGAAGGTCAGAAGACTAGTAGTACCCCATCAATACCAAAATAAATGGAGTTAACAGTGATCCTGCCCAAATCTTTTAAGACTGAACTATTTTTAACGCATGTTTTCAGATACCTCTTGCTAACAAGGAATAGAAACGTACTGTTCGACAAGCAACTAGATTTTCTGAACCAGTGCCAGAGCATATGACTTTAAGCTATGGAGTATGCAGCAAGTTTCAGGTAATCGCACGTGTACTTTGTTAAGCAGTAATAAAACCTGGCAAGCAGATAACATTTAAATGGACCCAACTGGATACCATGAGGAAATTTCAAATCTTTAGGAGG